CCAAACCGATGCTAAAAAGTTGTTCTATTAGTAGCGGAATATATTTGATTCTTAAAAACGACCTGAAGCGGACGAGACAAGTTCAGCCGTTTTCTTTGTCAAACCATTTCACCAAAAAGAAAAACATTTTCACACTTGTTTGGCTAAAGTACATGTTTTTGCCGGCGGGGAAACCGGCCAATATTTTGCTTTGTTTTTAGTGGGGTGGGGCCTAGGTTCCTTGGCGCTTGCTGCTTGACGTGATGCTAGACCATGGATGGGGTGGGGTGGGGCGGGGTGGGTAATAACTTAGCGTTATAACATCTTGTGTCAGGTAACTTCCCAAGACGCCCTTTCTTTGTCAAGTAAGTTCCAAGACGCTCTTTCTCGTGTAACTTCCCAGACGCTCTTGATGCTACGTTGTAACGCCTATGTCAGGTAACTTCCAAGATGCTGCTGATGCTACGTTGTAACATCGTTTGCAAAGGCGTGTGAAGCTGTGAGGGTAAAAACCAAGTTGACCGACGAAGGGTTCCAAAACAGTAGGAAAACGATGTAAAACGCGATTTCCAAAGAAAAAAACATGTTGATTGTGAAAAAAATGAGCCTTTGAAAAGGCAATTTCCGCTGACAGGCGCACGGGATTGTGGTTTTCAAAGGTTGGCAAAGGTTAGCATACCGTCCTGTAAACCCCTGCGCAGACGTTTTTGAATGAAAAAACATGTATCAAATCCGTTTGAAAAATGTCATGTTGTTTGCCCTTGGAATCATGGCCAATCATATATATATATATATCTGTATGTATGTATATATATATATATATGTATGAATATATATATATATATGTATGTATATATGTATATATACTGTATATACTGTATATACTGTATATACTGTATATACTGTATATACTGTATTTACTGTATTTACTGTATATATGTATATATGTATATATGTATATATGTATATATGTATATATGTATATATGTATATATGTATATATGTGTATATGTATATATGTATACATGTATATATGTATATATGTATATATGTATATATGTATATATGTATATATGTATATATGTATATATGTATATATGTATATATGTATATATGTATACATGTATATAGATGTATACAGATGTATATATACATATATATATATATATACGTGTGTGGGCATGTGTCATGCAGTACCGTTGTCCAACCCATTTGCCATAAACAACCCAGAAAGAAGGCTTGGGTTATTAGCGACATGTTTCTTGTAAACATTATGGACAAAATTCACCACTTAAAAATGGATCTGCTTAGCTCCGTGCAGGGTATATATTTTTCTTCTTGCCACCTGTCCTTGACTTACACACATGTATATATATATATGTAAATGTTTATGCATGGTTGTACAGTAAATGTACTGTATTACTGCATATGTACAGGTAAACAAACAAATGAGATGATATTAACATGGGGAAACATATATGTGTATAGTGTATAATAAGCAAACAAAACTAGACGACGGATGGCCCGAGAGCGTAGAGGAGCAGAGTCTTCTGTTGTTAGTATGGAGACACTATATTAAAGATGTATTATAGGCAGACGAGAAGAGTAGTATCAAGACAATATATGACTAGTACAAGACAATAGTTTGCATCGTATTTTTGTAAAGTTTTTCATAAACAGAACTTTTTACAGACAGACGCTTTTGCACACAGAGACTTTTACACACAGAGACTTCTGCACACAGAGACTTTTACACACAGACGCTTTTACACACAGACGATTTTGCACACAAACACTTTTACACACAAACACTTTTACACACAGAGACTTTTACACACACAGACGCTTTTACACACAGACGCTTTTACACACAGAAGCTTTTACACACAGACGCTTTTACACACAGACGCTTTTACACACAGACGCTTAATACACATAGGCTCTTTTACACACAGACACTTTTACACACAGACGCTTTTACACACAGAGCCTTTTACACACAGACGCTTTTAGACACAGACGCTTTTGCACACAGAGACTTTTACACACAGAGACTTTTACACACAGAGACTTTTACACACAGACGCTTTTACACACAGACGATTTTGCACACAAACACTTTTACACACAGACGCTTTTACACACAGAGGCTTTTACACACAGACGCTTTTACACACAGAAGCTTTTACACACAGAAGCTTTTACACACAGACGCTTTTACACACAGACGCTTTTACACACAGACGCTTTTACACACAAACGCTTTTTACACATAGGCTCTTGTACACACAGACGCTTTTACACACAGACGCTTTTACACACAGAGCCTTTTACACACAGGCGCTTTTACACACAGACGCTTTTACACACAGACGCTTTTACACACAGACACTTTTACACACAAACGCTTTTACACACAGACGCTTGGACACACAGACGCTTTTACACACAGACGCTTTTACACACAGACGCTTTTACACACAGACGCTTGGACACACAGACGCTTTTACACACAGACGCTTTTACACACAGACGCTTTTACACACAGAAATTTTTACACACACAGACGCTTTTACACACAGAGCCTTTTACACACAGACGCTTTTACACACAGACGCTTTTTACACACAGACGCTTTTACCCGCGACTTTTACACACAGACGCTTTTACACACAGACGCTTTTACACACAGACGCTTTTACACACAGACACTTTTACACACAGACGCTTTACACACAGAGGCTTTTTTTACACACAGAGACGCTTTTACAAACAGACGCTTTTACACACAGACGCTTTTACACACAGACGCTTTTACACACACAGACGCTTTTACACACAGACGCTTTTACACACAGACGCTTTACACACAGACCCTTTTACACACAGACGCTTTACACACAGACCCTTTTACATACAGACTCTTTTACACACAGACGCTTTTACACACAGATGCTTTTGCACACAGAGACTTTTACACACAGGCGCTTTTACACACAGACGCTTTTACACACAGACGCTTTTACACACAGACGCTTTTACACACAGACGCTTTTACACACAGACGCTTTGACACACAGACGCTTTTACACACAGACGCTTTTGCACACAGTCTTTTACACACAGACGCTTTTACACACAGACGCTTTTACACACAGACGCTTTGACACACAGACGCTTTGACACACAGACGCTTTTACACACAGAGGCTTTTACACACAAACACTTTTACACACAAACACTTTTACACACAGACGCTTTTACACACAGACGCTTTTACACACAGACGCTTTGACACACAGACGCTTTTACACACAGAGCACACAGTCTTTTACACACAGACGCTTTTACACACAGAAGCTTTTACACACAGAAGCTTTTACACACAGAAGCTTTTGCACACAAACACTTTTACACACAAAACTTTTCACACAGTTTTCTTTTTCCGGCACAAGTAAAATCACAATTTTTCCTGAGTTTTTGCCGATCGACCCTCATTTCGTGCGAAAGGGTTGCTCGGGGACAAGTAAAATCGCAATTTTTCCTCAGTTTTTGACGATCGACCCTCATTTCGTGCGAAAGGGTTGCTCCAGCACAAGTCAAATCGCAATTTTACCTCAGTTTTTGCCGATCGACCCTCATTTCGTGCGAAAGGGTTGCTCCGGCACAAGTCAAATCGCAATTTTACATCAGTTTTTGCCGATCGACCCTCATTTCGTGCGAAAGGGTTGCTCCGGGACAAGTCAAATCGCAATTTTACCTCAGTTTTTGCCGATCGACCCTCATTTCGTGCGAAAGGGTTGCTCCGGGACAAGTCAAATCGCAAATTTTCCTCAGTTTTTGCCGATCGACCCTCATTTCGTGCGAAAGGGTTGCTCCAGGGCAAGTCAAATCGCAATTAATTTTACCTCAGTTTTTGCCGATCGACCCTCATTTCGTGCGAAAGGGTTGCTCCAGGGCAAGTCAAATCGCAATTTTACCTCAGTTTTTGCCGATCGACCCTCATTTCGTGCGAAGGGGTTGACGTTTCGTGACTCGCCGCCGGCACCACCCTCGGCCTTAAGAGAGAAAGATAAAAAGAAGGCGTGAGAGAGAAAAAGGAGAGAGAAAGGAGAGAAGATGTGAAGGTGAGAAGATGTGAGAGAAGGTGTGAAGATGAGCAGATGTGAAGAGGAGCAGATGTGAAGATGGGCAGATGTGAGAGAAGATGTGAAGATGAGCAGATGTGAAGATGAGCAGATGTGAGAGAAGATGTGAGGGAAGATGTGAGAGAAGATGTGAGAGAAGATATGAAGATGAGCAGATGAGAGAAGATGTGAGAGAAGATGTGAGAGAAGATGTGAAGATGAGCAGATGTGAAGATGAGCAGATGTGAAGATGAGCAGATGTGAGAGAAGATGTGAAGATGAGCAGATGTGAAGATGAGCAGATGTGAAAGAAGGTGTGAAGATGAGCAGATGTGAAGATGAGCAGATGTGAAGATGAGCAGATGTGAAGATGAACAGATGTGAAGATGAGAAGATGTGAAGATGAACAGATGTGAAGATGAGAAGATGAGATACAGATGTGAAGATGAGCAGATGTGAAGATGAGCAGATGTGAGAGAAGATGTGAGAGAAGAGGTGAGGATGAGCAGATGTGAGCAGATGTGAAGATGAGCAGATGTGAAGATGAGCAGATGTGAAGATGAGCAGATGTGAAGATGAGCAGATGTGAAGATGAGCAGATGTGAGAGAAGATGTGAAGATGAGCAGATGTGAGAGCAGATGTGAGAGAAGATGTGAAGATGAGCAGATGTGAAAATGAGAAGGTGTGAGAGAAGGTGTGAAGATGAGAAGGTGTGAAGATGAGAAGATGAGATACAGACCCCCACTATTGGAAGAACCCTGCGCTCAGACGCTCTCGGGAAAAATCAACAACTACGTGTTTGATATCCGGTCCTGAACGACAAACACATGCATAGTTTGTTTCAGCAGGAATGCGTTGAACGCAGGTACCTTTCAGTTTGCTGTGTGAGTCAGGTCGACAAACCAGAAGTGGAAGATACAGGCAAACTCGGGACTGGCGTATTTGGGTCACAGGCTGCCTCACTAAGAAAAGGTGTTTTGCCATGATCTTCACAATGGAAACATGGTTGTTTTTCGGGGGTATAGTCTTTGGTAATTCATCAAACATGGCAATGGAAAATCCTCCATTTGTTAAAAAAACTTTAAAACCCATTAAAACTAGAATTTTTATTTGCCATGTTTGATTACCCGAGGGTACCCAGACTTTGGACAAAAACTGATTGGGCACCGCTCAGCATAGTCTTGGCGGAAATGCTGCCGACTCAGGGCTGGACAAACCAGAGATGGATGTCGTCCCGGCAGAGACCCTGCCAGGCTTCTTGCAGAGACCGGCTGAGTTGGAGTTCCAGAACACAACATGGTCACCAAGAATTGGTTGCGGAAAAATTGGAAGGATGGATCATGGATCAAAACGCATGAAACATCAAACATGGGGGGATGAACATCCAAGTTACAAGCCACGATTTTGCGGAGAAAATTTAGGCCCCAAGGTGAACTGACCCATAACTTGTGACTTGGGGTCAGGAGAGCTGGAGAACTGCTAGTCAAGCATGTTCTTGATAATGACCTGAGGACTTCGGTCCTTGCTTTTTAGCATCTCCAAAAGGAGACTCATTGTGTAAATGTGACAAAAAGCGCTTTGGCACTGGCACAGACCAGCCGTGGTTTGCTCAAAGCACCGGATTGCGCAAGCAAAACAGAGACTGTCCACTGATTCGTGCATTTGCAGAAAGTTTGATCAAGCATAGCGTTGCTGCGATTTGATTGGAAGTGTGCATTGCTGTACAGCAGAAACTGTGTTGCTTGTTACCGTTGTGACTTCATTGCTATGCGCATCATTTGCCATTTTAGCACCATTTGCATACGATGAGAGGTAAGTTGAGGTCAATCTCAAAACATCAACTCTGCAAGGCAGCCCTTTTCGTACTGCATCAATTAGACATAGCCACACCTATCATACTTAAGTCCCTTTCTTTCAAAATGTGAGATATTAAAACATTTAAAAACTAACAACAAGAGCGAACACTACGACAAACCACAGAAACTTGGGTTCCAAAAATCTCGGACCTTGCTGCTATAGCTTTGCCACGAACAAAGATGGGTGGCATCAGCTCCGCATTGCAAGGACCAATCTCAAGCATCCTGGGGATTGATAAAACTCGTTTTGGGGTGGAATATCCATTTACATCCACAAATTACCCTCTGGTGATTTAACATAGCCATGGAAAATGGCCCATCTATAGATGGATTACCTATTAAAAATGGTGATTTTCCATGGCTATGTTAGTCATAACCAGATGGTATATATATATATATCTATAACTATCAGCTATCTGTAATCAGGGGATTCCGGGGGCCAGAATGGGAACCCCAACTTTGAGCGCCATTTGGGTTTGTCTTCTTCAAATGCCGCGGCATTTGGGTCAATTCTAGAGAAACCCATGTCAATTGGGTATCCCACATTCCCTATCCCATGAAATGCCCTAGATACTGCCCACATATTTTTTCGAGTTAAAACGCCCCATATTGGTCATGTTATTTTCAGACAAACCCATATTTTTCCCAATCAAACCTCCACATAGTCGCCATGGAATCCCTATTGTTGATTTTGACCCTCTGGTAATTTAGAATAGTCATGGAAGACATTTAGAATAGCCATGGAAAACCATGAGCAATATGAACCTCTAGTATAGTGCTATTAGTATATTGCTGTTATGTTCAACCATTACTCACAGATAGCCAGTCGTCAAATCCGCCCTGCTTGTTTCGCAACGCGAGTCTCTGAGGAGATTGCCAGCTTTCTGAGGTCCTCAGCCTCAGTGTTTTTTTTTGAGGATTTCATTGGTGGCCTGTGTCGAATTCCTGTTGAGCATAGTAGGTGTATGTAGGTGTATATTACATATATATATATGTATGTGTATATGTATGTGTATATGTATATGTATATGTATATGTATATGTATACATATGTTTATATATATAGGTACCTGTATGTGTAATATGCAGGTATCTGTTTTTCCGGGACCAGAGAGTCCAGTGCCAACTTAGCTGCCTTTAAGGAGGTACGAGGCTTCACGCTGAAGCCGGGCTGAGGATGAAATTTACAAGATCAAACATTGAAAAACCTGGAATTTGCTCCAGGATGTGCTTAAGATTTACAGTTGTGTCACCCGGAATGTTGGCCCAACGGCCACCATGGTTTCCGATGTCCGCTTTGATCCGTTTTGCTTCGAAAATCCCATGGTTTAGGTGCTGCACAGAGGATTATCGAGGCGATGGGAAAGCCACCGTCGCTCCAGTGGCTGCTGTCCTAGCCTGGTAGGCTTGCTGTCCTCATGGCATCCCACTAAATTGAACAATGACTACCACGACGCGCCTTTCGGTTTTGGATTGATATAAACCAAATAGGATGCATGACTTCATTTTTTTTTGCATTCGGAGGAATTGTATACGCTATTTTGTTTTTGTTTTTTGACAGTTACAGTAGTTGTTTTTGGGGCAGAGTACTATGTTCGACATTTTTATGGAGTTCAGTTAAAGATATGTCGAAAAAGGATTTTAAGAGTCGTGCGGTGTGGATGAGGTATCAAAGTGCAGGTCAATATTACTAGTTACTAGTTACTAGACGTGACTCTATGATACTCTTTACGCTTGAAATTGGGCTGGGTCAATAGCTCTGGGAATATTTTTTGATGAACATTCATTTACTAGCTACTACTAGTTATTTTGGTGTGAAATGTGGGATCGCAGGCTGGCTTGACCCATACGCAATTAGGCATTTCTGTTGAGCTGCTCGCTGTGATAGGACTTCATTTCCGTCAGCTTTCACAGTGCTCCCCTTGGACCAGCAGACCTTGTCGATTCAGACTGTTGAGAAAGTCGAGTAGGGAAAAGGGCACAGAAGATTAGTCTGAGACTAGGGTAGCCATGACTAGCCCATAATCCAGTGGATATTCTATGATATTCTCATCATTTTTCCCTGTGGAAAAGGGATATTTTTGGGTAAACTGAGGTCGATCCAAAGGTGTGGCCGGGTGAAGTGGTCACCGAAATTGGGGAAACATGTGGTGATCATCTGGTTTTTCATGGGATATATATATATATATACTGTATATATATATATATACATATTATGAATGGCAGCAAGAACTCTGAGATGATGCAACTGAAAGGGAGTGAAGATGGTCTCTTTGATCTCAATGGTCCAAACCAACAAAATGGGATCCGTCTGTAAAAATGGTTACCAACCTCCGGTGTGAAAATTGGTGGTAACCACTACTGCAAATCCACGCCACACCAACAATTCCCTGTGACAAGCTCTCTGCTGTTTTCGCCAAGCAGACTGTTCAAAAGGCTGTCCACAGCCAAAACCACCAGCACTGATCGGGTGACCACACCCAGGCAACGAACGTGTGAACCCTGTCACACCTATGGCAAAAGGCTCTCTTAAGCCCACCCACCCGCGAACCTGCTGCCCTGAGCCAGAGCCTATGGTTCGAAGATTGATCAAGGTTCCAACCTGACAAGGCAAAGTGAGGCACTCACACTCGTCAAAAACATTCTGTTGATCAATCTTGGTTCAAAAGCGGATCTGATGGGCTTTCCTTAAGCCATTTGATTCGATCGCGGGTCTGGGCACGGCTCCTGAGAATGGAGTCTTCGTCATGCAATCTGTAGTATCCTATTTTGAGAGTGGCTCTGAGAAAGTTGGCTTGCATTATCTTTGTCAGTGCGTCAGCCAGTTGGGCACCACCATGGACCCATCTTAGTTGGATGCCCTCCTTGAGGGATTCTTTTATGGATCGGGCCATGAGTTGTGTTCTAAATTCCGTGCATGACGGTGGTGCTGTCCTTGTTACTAGGTCATATAAACTCTTGCAATCAGTGACTGCCAAGTCGGAAAATTCAGGCAGTGTTGGTACTGTGATGGCAGGCTCAATCTTTAAAAGGGATTCCTCAGGATTACGCCAATTCGTGTCAGGATTATGGAGCCATCCCCAAAACAGGCGAAGCCATCCAAGTTGGTCTAGTGCTGCAGCAAGGGACACTGTCTCTGCCGCTAGGGTGCTCGTCACTACCTTCTGAATTTTCTTGGAACCCCATGTGATCGGGCTGATAGGACACTGGATATTCTCACAAATAGACTTGTGGGTGCCAACAATGACTAGACCTGTGTGTGAATCGGGCTTTCTTTGGGATGCGAATGAAGCGTCGGAAAATGCCATGAACCGAAAATCTTCAACAGGTATGGGTCTGATTCGAATGGTCACATCATGATGTTTCTTTGCCTCATGCAGTAAACGATTCCCTTCTAGGAGTGTTTCGATTTTGGCTTTGTTGATTGATGATTGCAACATGGATAGTCTACTGGATAGGTCAGGTCGTGTGTTCACTGCTGCATATTGGAGGGAACCTACGAGTCCACGTAGGTGTCCTCGCTCTGATTCCGTGACATCGGCCTCTACCTGAAACTTTCTTTGACTGTCAATTGGGATAGGTTTAATCTTTCTCACATACTGGGATTGGCTCAAGATTATACTATAATCTTCCATTTGGGTGAGGTCAATACCCGTGAAAGTGAAGGATCCCAATTTCTTTGAACCGAATGGATACTTTTCTTCAAGTTTCTTGATAAGCTCTTGGAATTCCTGATTGCCCCCGCAAACTCCATCATCAACGTGAATGCCAAGTACACCAGATAATTTTTGGGGATTAGTTTTATCACGAAGTACGAATGTGCAAGGACAAAAGGGACTTACCTCCATTCCTAGTGACGTCAGTTCAGAAACCAAAGCACAATACCACAAATATGGGGCGTCGATTAATCCGTATGCACTTTTGTTGAGCTTGCCTATTTCATGGGGTTGCATACCCATGGCTCGCCGCAGCTCTGGAACTGGATCTAAGCCCATGGTGCGGTCGGATTGTGGTCGACCCTGAAGAAACGCCGCCTTGATGTCGAATGACATTAGTTGCCATCCATGTGAGGCGATGGCTTGGAGGATGATCATGCGAGCTGTCTTACCAAGGGTGGGACTATCTCTGGGGATTTCATCTATCTTGGGGTCTTGGTATCCTAAGACAACTAGACGTGCCTTGGGTTTATGGGTCTTACTAGAGCACCTTTGGGAAATCTCATCTTGATTGGCATCATCTAGTGGCTTCCAGGTTAAAATCCATCGACTGCGCATGACCTGTTCGGGTGGAATCTGATTCTTCAAAACTTTGGTGATGGTATTGGTTTGGATCCAATTGTCAATTTCCTTTTGTTTGGCTTGTTCAAAGAGAGTCTTTTCTTGAGGGGTGAGTTCTGACATTTTTACTTCGGTGCGTTGTTTGGCACTGCCGCTGGACAGCAGAGTCCATGCAACTTGATCACTCTCCGCATTGGCATCTTTGGGCACGGCATGAGCAGGCACATCGAATTCACAGCGAAACGCAAAATCAGGGTGCTCAGTTGAAAAATAAACTTCATCATCATCATCGATGCACAAAAGTTGAACTGTGGTCTGTTCTGAATCGGATCCAGATTCTTGAGAATTGATGGATGGCTGATGACTATTAATTTCTGGCTCCTGATCTGGCTGTGCAAGTGATTCGGCTGTGCTCCCAAGGCGTTCTCGGGCCACCGCTGGTTCTGGCATGTGGGCTGGTGACTCGATGGGCTCCTCAATGTTTTCCAATGGGACATGTTCATCAATCGTGGGAAGTTGATTCATTCTGTCGATTTGGTTCTGGATATGAGTAAGGTCACTGGGGAGTTCGGGACCCTCGGGTTCACCCTCCGCTGGCAGTGATCTCCTAACGTGTTCCGGTGCGCTGCGAAAAAGTCGGCCACCTTGGGTCGTCCACACAGTGTGGTTACTATCTTGAAGGACTACATGATGGGGACCAATCCAACTAGGTTTATCACGGGACTGTGTTCTCCACACCATGACCCATTGACCTTGTTGAAACTGACCTCTCGAAGGGCATGACTTTCGGAGCACAGCACGACGGATGGCGTCTGAATTGTCGGCAACATGAAATGCTCTGCGTGCACACTCTCTGATTTGCAAATGTTTCCTAAAACCACCAACTGCATCTTGTTCAAGTTCTTGGATAGCTGTCATATGGCTAGGAATTGATTCATCACTGAGTATGGATCCAGGAAGCCGACTTTGTTTTCCAAACACGATGATTTCAGGAGCATACCCATGTTTGATACTCAGCATATTTTTGGATTGAATGCATAAGTTCAGGGTAGTTTGAAGATCTTGATAGTTATTTACAGGAATCTCTGTATCGACTTTGGTAATCATCTCTTGGAGAAACATGCCATGTCGTTCGATCTTTCCGTTTTGCCAGTGGGCTTCAGGGCAAGTGGTAGTGGTATTAATGCCAAAACGCTGACAAAACGTGGTGAATTCCTCTCCATTGAGTTCCGTTGCTGAATCCACTACAAGGTGCTGTGGCGCACCTGCCCATGAGACCCAGTGTTGATTAACCAAATGAACTACATCACTACCAAGGCGTGAAGGGGCTGCAACTGCGACATGAAAATGTGTACCTGCATCCAACATGTGATAGAAATGAAAAGTCTTTCCTTGGCTGTTGGTCCATGAGATCCCATCCATGTACACCTTGTGATTGAAATCTAACATGGGCTTCAAACTTCCAGGGCGCTGATGTTTTGGGGCAACATGAGTGGCACATACTGAGCAACGGAGTTCTCTGGCAGCATTGACTACCTCAGCACGCTGACCCATCGATTGCAAGGCTTTGGCTAACCGTTCATTACTTGGATGTCCAAGGTTACGGTGCATCAGTTTGATCTGATTCTGTTCCCACTTGGGTAGGCTGCAGAAACGTGACGTTTGTTCCCGTAGGGGACCTGACATTGTCTCTTCATCAAAGCCTGCTGGTGATGAATCTTTGGCCTGCTGGTCTTCGCCAGCTGGCAATCGGACTGCAGAGTCGTGGTGCGAGTGTGGCTGCCAACTATCAGATGAACTGCTGGTCGATTCCTCTACCATCGGCTGAGGTGCAGTGCTTGGCTCACTTCTAGCATCACGACTGGGTTCTTCTGGAGGGTTGGATGATGTTCCTGGTGTGTTCACTTTGAAAGCATCATCCCTACGGCAAGCAAACATTGTGATGTTCAATCGACATGCATGAGATGGCCTGACCAGCTGTCGATAGGATAATTGATCAAATTTCTCCCAATGCTTTTCAAATGCCACCTGACTTGATGGCCGGAGGATCATTAGAGATTTTCTGAATGGGGCTTCAGCGGCATGGATATGGCTTAAAGGGGCCATGGTCCTGTCCATTCCTCGACATGCCACTACACTGATCAGCTGCATATCATTGAACATCCCTTGAAGTGGTGTGAGTATATCGGATTGTGTTATCTCAAGCTTTCCAACTCGAGGGACAATTTTGTTGATTCTGGAAATTATTTCTTGGCAATCTTCCAAACAAGGTTCAACATACTGTTTGTGACCAAGTCTTCTGCGTTTGACCAACTGTTCTGCCTTTGGGATCGGATGCACGATTTCTGTCAGTGCAAAATTGGCCTTGCGGCTTTGGCTGTTGATCACCCTACCCGCGGGATTTGACACCAGGGTAGGTTCCCCCACTTGGCACTGGGAGAGTGCAATCAGTCCGGAGCTCCACTGAAATGGCCATTGGCGTGGCGATTTGCACATCACATTAGCTATCAACCTCGCAAATTTTCGGGGGTACACTTCAGAAAACACCGATCTTCGAACCAGTTGTCCATCAACATGTGTTTGACCCTCTATCACCTGATGTGCATGCTGTTTTCGACACGTTCGGCCATGCAATGCTTGGAACATAGCTGGGCTAGTCGTCACCACCACCAGGCGTTTTCGCATGGCAAGTCCATTTTCCGGGTCCTTCAACCCTCCGACTTCACACAAGTCGAATTCACACATTTGGGTAAATTGGTGGATTTCCGAAATACCAGGTTGAGAAAACATCAGTGATTTAGAAGGTTGCTCCCAATGGAAGTGTCGTCCATGCATGATTTGATGACGATACAACACAATACCCAATGCGATTTGATACAACAACTGTTCCCTCTTCTGCAAATGCTCTTCTAAGCTCTGGACAGACCTCGCTGAGTTGAACTGAGACCAGCTGGACCATGGACCACATACTGGTGAGTACCATATGTTACGTGGCTGGTGAACAATCAACAGTTTGAACAAAGCATGTCTACCTGATGGTGTGGACAAGTCTCCCTGTGTCAAACCGAATCGGAACGCTGACCCTCCAAGTTGTTGCACCTGATGTGTCACGGGTGATTGTTGGCTGCAAAACACTTCCCCAAGTACAAATGGCCTACCAATTGGATGGTGTTGGGACATTGCGGCATCAAGTTCCTTTTCACATTGGCGAATCAGTGATTGTAACCTCTTGACATCAGGGTGCACACTTGAGTCGGAAGGGCATGACTGATCCTCATTGATCACGCTCCTTCCTGGTCCTCGGGCACTGGCTGATGGATGCCCGCTTGGTGTTCCATGTGCTGGATCACTTGGGTCAATGCATTCTCGAGATGCAACATGCGAGTCTGCATGGCCATCATGTCGGCATTCATGGGGGTTGGTTCTGTATATCCACTCTGGTACGTCCCTAAATTCCACTCTTCCTCTTCTGCCTCCATGTCTGGCAAATGCACGATCTCGGAGTGAGGGATCTGGCTGGCCGCCTTTGGCTTGGCCTTGATCTTGGGAACGGGACGGAGACTCATGGGCAGCTGGCTGGACGCAGCTTGGGACTCGGCCGGTGGGGCAACACGAATCGGTGTTTGACTGCGTTCGTGTTGTTCCACACGAAGAGTTATGTACCGAACGATCAACCGGTGAGACATCTTGGTGGACTCGGCATACTTGCTGGCTATGAACGAGATCCACTCTTGATCTTCCTCCCAAACTTGATGAAAGGGGCGTCCCAGATGCTTCTGCCCGAACTGCACCTTCTGGTCCTGGAGGTCCGTCAGGGTGAGATGGGAGATGTCTTTCAATTCTCCGCTGTCTCGTTCCTGGAGATCCTTCAACCTCTTGCTCAGCGACATGGTCTACGGCCGGAAGGGTTGGACACTCGGTGGATTCACTGGGACTGGGATGACTTTGAGACTTCAGCACAGCTACCATGGTTTCAGGTTGGGTCGCATGAACGTTGAGAGTGTCATGTGGCTCTCCCGTGGACTCACTGAATGGAAATGGCACCTGAAGAGGTGATGGTGATTGATATTGATCCTGCTGAACTGGCACTGGTCCTGCTATCTTTTCCTTCTGGCGGACGGTCACAAAGGTCTGATGAATCTGCGTGGGCTCACCTACGGATTGTTCCAAGGTTGGCCTAGCTGCCACTGCCAAGCTGTTCACATCAATGAGAAACAAACCCCGAGAAGTGAGCTTTAATGGAACTTCACAATCCAGCAGTGGGCTGATGAGGCAACGGTTTTCGCAGTCAATCCTGGCTCGGAGTGCTCTCATCAGAGAATTCGACAACAGAAACGGGGTACCTCCCTTCACAATGGCTACTTTCAACTTGAGACGACCAATCGGAAGAACAATTGCATAGCTACTATGGAGAACTCCCTCATTGCCAAACTTGAAAGTAATGTCACAACTGGTTTTGGTGACCTTCTCTTTGATTGCAGGGTCCAAGCCATTCAAAAGATCGGCAACATGATTGGATCCAATCACCGTCTTCGATGCTCCTAAGTCTAAAACACCGTGAGTGCCATGGGTTGCAAACAGAGCACACTGCACGTCCTGGCTGGCTGACATGATTGGAATGGTGTTGGATCTGATGGATGTTCTTTTGACATCCTTCGCAAAATGCGATTGGCAAAACGGCTCAGGCACTGGATGATCTGTACACGGAATCGGATGCGCATCACTGGACCGGGCACTACTCCTCAGACGGCGGTGGAGCCGTTCATGGGCTGTTAGTCTATGATCACTAGTCCCCACCCTAGGATGTTGACCTACATATTCCCCCGGAATACAACCTTGGTGACTCATCCTAGGATATCTCATAGACGCAAAACTTACAAAACTGACGGCTGAAACAACCTGAGGTTCATGATCTATGTCAAGAGATGGCATCAAATCATCAGGGAGATTCACGAACTCGAGTGGCAAGCTGTCCATGGCTTCTGAATCAGCTATCACAGTTGTGGTGGGTGCTGTGTTACCACCGGATGTCGAAGGTGCTGAACCTGTTGAAGTGCCACGCATAGGGCACTCTGCCTTCCAGTGGCCACGTTGCCCACAGAGACGGCATGAACTGTTCATGATTCGATCTTGGAGTGACCGTTTTGGTCGATTGTCCCATGAATTGCTCCCCTTGCCCTTCCCAAATCCTTTGTTGAACGACCCCTTCCCCTTGCCAGCACTTGGGAAAGGACGAGCTGGAAAGAAGCCTCGATTCTTGAAGCGCTCCTGCAGTCGATGACGTGCCTGTTGATAGGACACCATTGCCACTGCCAGATCTTGGTCTTCCTGAACCGTATCCTGAGCGGCTTGTTCGAAGTCCAGAATCAACGCAGCATCAGCGTCACCTTCGGCTGCTAAAGCTTCCAAATGCTCATCATTCAACATCTCTTCAGGCATATGAGGGGGATCTTCATTTTCATAAGGATCATCATGGGTTTCACTCACAAGTACTGTCTGATCATACACCTTCGTCTTTGCACCTTTCTTCAAACCAGTGACATCATGAAAGAAGGCAGCACCAAGTAAACGGATGGCTTCACTGACTTTCTTCATCGTCAGTGACCCCTCAGCCTCACTTTCCATTACCACACGCTTTTTGTCCTCGGCCGACAAGCAGGAACCCCGCAAGGTGATGTAAGCCTGCAGGCTTTCCAACGTCAGTTTTCGAGCCAGAAGTTTGCTCCACATGACGTCTGACCTTGCCAGAAAACTGTCATTCGACTCATCTGCTCGCTGTATGGTATGGAAAATGGCTTCCTCCGCCTCCTGGCACTGTTTCTCCAAAGGGATTCTTCCCCACTGACCCCCTAGGATCTCAATCAGCCGCTTCACCGAAGATTCCTCGCCGGTCAGAAGCTCCGACTGGTGCAGCTGCAGCTTCGCAAATGCCGAGCCTTGGCAGTTGAGTATGAGGCGGGTGACCAGCTCAGTGATCTTCGTCTTGGGCCAGGCCGCCATGACCAACTCAACACGCTGCTGATACTGTACCATGTCATCCTTTGAAGGGTCAAATGAAGGAACCAGAGATGCCAGCTGATTGCTGACCCCCACAGCGCCAGTCGATTCTGCTGCAGTTGTCATTGAACCCCTGGATGCTCCTTCACTGGAGCTCCGCTACCAGTATGAATGGCAGCAAGAACTCTGAGATGATGCAACTGAAAGGGAGTGAAGATGGTCTCTTTGATCTCAATGGTCCAAACCAACAAAATGGGATCCGTCTGTAAAAATGGTTACCAACCTCCGGTGTGAAAATTGGTGGTAACCACTACTGCAAATCCACGCCACACCAACAATTCCCTGTGACAAGCTCTCTGCTGTTTTCGCCAAGCAGACTGTTCAAAAGGCTGTCCACAGCCAAAACCACCAGCACTGATCGGGTGACCACACCCAGGCAACGAACGTGTGAACCCTGTCACACCTATGGCAAAAGGCTCTCTTAAGCCCACCCACCCGCGAACCTGCTGCCCTGAGCCAGAGCCTATGGTTCGAAGATTGATCAAGGTTCCAACCTGACAAGGCAAAGTGAGGCACTCACAACATATATATATATATATATATCTATTAATATGTATGTATGTATGTATGTATACACGTATGTAAGGGGCATATTTCATGGGATTTGAGTGGGCTACGAGGTGGTAGGCTTTGCCAAGTTGATAGCTAGGTGGAGATATCGAACTAGTTGCTGGACGGGTTTAGCAACTTATAACTGGGTCCACCTTGAAGCGGGAGTAGACACAGTGGGCAAAGAAGGTTGATAGGAACCACTGCTTTTAGAGATGATCGTTGTTTTGGTATATGTATATAATATCATAATCGTACATAATCATACTATATTTACAGTTAATTTATTGGTGCAAATTTATAGAACCGTTAGAATGGTAAACAAGTCCCACATCCCCAAGATTTTCCAGGTTCCCATCAGCCACGACCTGCAAGAGCCCAAGGCTGTTCAGCCAAGGTCTCAGGGTGTCGTAGGGATTTCCTAAGTCATGGAGCTACCCCCAGTCATCATCCATTTTTTCATGGGATTTCGGATTTCCCATGAAATCAACCAGCCATTTTGAAGTAGCCCCATTTATGGGTTAAGCTCCATCTAAGATCATATAAGATCTTGGAAGGTATCGCTGCTTGGTGGTTTCAGCGTTTTTGTCATCCCGTGAGACCTTTCGACCCCAGCAAAGCATAGCAGGGCACCAATATCTGCATGTAGTATATGTACAATGTACAACGTATATTCTGTAATGTATTTAATTAGGTGTATATATTTGATGAAAAATGTTTGCATTAATGGTGTCAAAGTCCAAGATGACCAAAACTCATAGAAACCACCTCCAACATCTGCGGATCGTTTCGGTTTGTAAGCATGACCATTTTCCCATGAATGATCCGGTCCTAAGCCTGGTAAGCCGCACGGTAAGCAACTGGGTCACTGAGGGTCTTGTCTTGCCAAGCAACTGGGCACGACATCCGATGGCAGGGCAATATGGCGAGGGTGGCAGGGAGAGCCCAGCAACGGCATGACGGGGTAAATCGGTAAATCTGGCAGTTCGAAAGGTACACAACATGTATATATATATATATATAACCTCTAAAGAAGGGAGTTTCCCAGATCCAAAAAAAGATGAGGGACGGTATCAACGGTGAGGTCTGCCCTGCGCATTGTGAGCGAGAACCAGCAGCTGTGGCAGTTGGAACAGGTGTTCATCCTTTGGGCTCTCCTATTTGTCCGGTGCTTAGGAGATCTCGCCCTTTTTGTATCTAGAAATGACAAGTGCGCCAAGTGTTTTTCAAAAGAAATGGGAGACAAAAATCAATTTATGATCATATAGATATGGTCCATGATGGTCCATGGCAATTTTAGGAAGAGGAACAAGCAGTGGATTTTAAGGGTGGACTGTATCCTTTGGACAAAACCCACTTGAAAGCCTTGAAAGTCAGGCCTGGGAGCCATCGTGGATCGAGTGTTGCCAGTTTATGGTGGAGAAATGATGCTCACGAAGGTGCGACGTGAACTTGGTGCTGAGATGCGACAGCCTGTCATTTTTCGCTGGGTTTTAATTTGGGTTAAAAAAAAACAAAATGGAGAATTTTACCACAAGAAATGGGGTAGAACTCATGGGCGGAGCAGTCCGACTGAGTCAACTGTTGGGGGTTTCAGGCCTAGTTGTTATTTTCAACCATAGACATGGGATGATGATCCATTCATTTTTCAGATGGGCCACGAGTTGAACCCACCAATTAGATCTTTATTTGCTGCAAAAAATGGCTTTGTCTGAAAACTTAGCGGAAAACCCCAAGGTCCAGTGCTTAGTCATAACATTTCTAATTAAACTGGCCATAAATGGGGGTAGGGGTCCCTTTCTTAGACGCACCCATATTTTCCAAACATGGTGGAAACCAAAAATCACACAAGTAGTCTTCCCCCATGGTGTCCCCCACGGTTTCCCCGCATGGTGACAATGGGCACGACAATTTTGAGAAACAGCCGCCATGCCACATGGTTTTGTCGCGAAATGGAATTACCCCAATGTCCATGACTGGGAAAATGAGGTTTTAAACACTTTTAATCCATGTTTTTTTTGTTTTCCATTGCTTTCCCACAAGGGATGCTCATGCAAGGCAGCACCAATTCAAGCACAACGGATTCTTGGACAACCAGCAACTCGGCAAGCGATTCTATGGTTTAACCACAGAAGATCTGTGGTTTTGTCATGTTTTGTCTAGAAATGGATGGTCCCCAAGTATCACCTTAAGCTACAGTGGATGGCAACGCGAAATCCTGCACCAGTGTTTTCAACGGTGCTTGATCCGATGATCCATCCACAGCCAGGCCGGGCTGGAGTCCTACAGTGGTGGTGTCGGGATGCCAAGGTCGATCAGGATTTCTATTTTTCGAGATGATCCATCCATATATATATATATATCCATTATATTGAAAGGATCCCCAGAATTACATCAATTTACAGGGTCTATATAATAATGTGTATGTATATGTATATATATATATATGTATAAATATAAATACTCATATATATATATATATATAAGTCTAATTCATCGCCATTTCTCGACATGGCCCTGGTTTTTTCAGGAATCCAACGTGGCCGTGTCCGTGTCCGCCACGGGCCTCAAGGGTGAGGCATGGCACGGCTATCCAACGGATACATTGGATCTCAGCGCGCGGCTTAAGTCCACGGTCACCTTGTTGGGATTTTCAGGTCGGGTTTCACTCATTTTCTGGCGAATTTTCAATTGAACATGATGATATATGCATCAAATATCATCAAATCAATGAATTCTTTGGGGGTACATGGAGGTACCCGGTAGTTGAGACACTTCCAGATGCTGCTTCAGTTCATGCTATGCAAATTGCAAAGTCCTGATATTTTTGAGTTGGCATTGAGGCCCTTCGCTACCGCCAGAACACGTCGTGCAGGAGATTCAATCTAACATGAGCAGTGGCTGCGATCTACCCTTGTCTTAATGATTAGTTCGGGGATTATTCATTGATTATTATCATGGATTATCATGGATTATCATCATGGATTATCATCATGGATTATAATCATGGATTATCATCATGGATTATTATGGATTATCTACCCAATATATGGGGGATTATCATGGATTATCCACGAGCCGAATCCCTACAGCATGAATCAAGGCTTCAATCCGTGATCCGTTGTGGCTCCAATGACGTGTTTCAATGGCTTAAGATAGCGGTTAGACCCCCAATAGCCATCCTTGACATCTTTGATGGATCCGGAGATCAAGGGCAAGGTACTTGAGCTCTTCCGGCAATTTGATGAAAATGGTGATGGAAAGCTGACTGAAAGTGAACTTTCGAATATCCTTAAGGCTGTGTCTGGAGGCTCCATGTCAGAGGAGGAGATCAGTGACTTGGAGTTGTGCTGGGGGAACATATTCCCCACAAGTAGCCCCAAAGACTCATATATACATATATATATATACATATATATAGATTCACCATTTCTCGTAATTTCTCGTAACATCCACTGGGAATATCGTTCGAAGAAAAATCGTCGACGCTGACAACGAGGTGAATTGTTCGACAAACTGGATCGAGATGACAACGGAAGGCTGACCGTCAGCGAGTTTTTGGACTACGTCTTCGACGATGATTCGGCTGCGGGCGTGGCGATTGAGACGATCGACCAAATCAAAGAGTTTCTGACTCGGATGAAAAACTTATCACCAGAAGATAACCAAACTATCCCAAACTGAGGGTCTGAAGAAATTGAACATGGGGCTGTAGCTGTTGCATGCTGTTGCCCCTGATTTTTCGGCAACGGTTGTTTTTGCCTCGTTTTTTTTCGAGTTTTCCCAGCATAAATGATGGCCACCAGGTTTGCTGACTCCGAACAGGTGCAGGTTGTGAGTAATGCCGTATTGGACGCCTACAACAGCGAGCTGGGGCAAAAGCTGGCAGATAAAGCCTGTGACATGGACTTGTTTTTTGGTAACCAGGAATGGGGAATCCAGTGGGATTACTATGGATGGGAATATGACATGTTGACATATTTTTTGCTTTTTTTGCGGAGGGGGTTGGCATATGGTGGCATCCGCACATCCAAGGTACATCTGTTTCATGATTTACCCATTGGCTCGTCAATTCCAAGGTCTGGTTGGTGGTGACTGGAACATGGCTTTTATGACTTTCCATATATTGGGAATAGATTTTCCCCAACTGATGAACTCCATCATTTTCAGGGGGGTAGGACGAAAAAACACCAATTCCAAGGTGATTATGTTGGAATTGACAAAGAGAAGATAGAGGCAGTGGCAGGCGCTGTGGGAAGCATGGCAGCCAGGGCCCGTGATTGGTGGGGGGATTGAGGATGTGGCGGATGCGGTGTCCGGTGTCGTCGATCACTTAAAGTGAGGCCGGCCATGTACGATAAATTTGAGGTCTGAAACTTGGGTATACCACCAAAAAAACATGGGAAACATATGGAAACATGATGACTAACCAATCTAACCAGTTGATTTGAATGGGGTGCAGCCCATTTTCAGACAAACTCCATCAAACTGTCGCCTTTCTGAATCATGAATTGTTATATAAATCTGTTGAGTTGCTGAGGCATGATGCTGGTTGGTGATTCAAAACAATTCAAACACTCTTTTTCTATCCGTTGCATTGAATGATGATCGGACATTGACTATATCAATCTATATCATGCATTTCTGATTGATTGAAACATATTGAAACCACCGACCAGCATGGGGATTTCCAGGAATATGGAATGCCCCTCCTAGCAAATTTAGATGGATACGCCGAGACCGTCGGATTTGTCCGACTGGGGCTCGATCTTGGCCGCGCTGCAAAGCAGTGCGTCGCAGTGCGTCAGCTTGGAGTGAGATCCACTGTCAAACTGTAAATGCAGAGGATTGCCTGGGAAACTGTAAATTTGAAGATAGAAGAGCGCGGAATAAAATGACTCGTATGATTAGAGCAACATGAAACAGCTCGATAATTCAGTTACTCATCATACTGCCAAGCGTGGCCTTTGACCCAAAGAGATCATTTTGCAACGGCAACGCTCCGACAAGCGGAAGCAGTTTCATCTGCAGCGGTTGACAAAAGCTGCAGGTGACTTGCTATGAGTTCAAGAGTTCTTAGCAGGACCAGAGATGGCTAGAGCAGGAACACCCAGTTTTGTATGGTAGCGGTATCGTTTGGTTTGCGATTTCACATTCTTTTAGTTTTCAATCATGACATAAACATACATAAACGGGATACCAATCCCAACTGATTACTAAATTTCAGGAGAGCTGAAACAACCAACCAATAGTTCTCGATTCACATATTTTAAAGCTGTTAATTATAATCCATAACTTATACAATCCCACCAACTAGTTGACATATCCTTCACATCCATATTTGATATTTACATACATCTAATTATATATATATATAATATACTATATACACATAATTCTAACTCTCTCTGTATATATATATTATACACTTTATATCTCATCAACAAGTGTTTTTTTCCCATTCCCCTGTGCTATCCCTGTGAGAGGACTGCATGGAGACCTTTGACAAGCTCCCTTTGGAGGTTTCAATGCTGCAGTGCGTCATGTTGGGCTTGGGGTCGAAATTACCGGTATTGTTAGTGAACCCCCAACATATTGAAAAGCATGGATGGTTTGATGCTAACAATGACAAAATTATAGAGTATGGGTCAAAATCATTTGAATGATCGAAGCACCAGCATCAAAAAAGTCCATAACCCGGCTCAACGCGCAGACCTTTGGAGACTCCGTCATCATCAATTGCCCAGGAAGGCGGGTACAGAAGTTGGCCATGGTCTAAATTGGGCATGACATGGCCATAAGATGGGGGATAATATGGTATAATTGATTGGGTTTACCACACTATACCACACCATGTAACTGTCAAAAAAAAACTATTTTTTGGACGCAGCCACATCGTCGAAGATCCCCCCCAAAAAGTTACACAGCCTCCTCAAAGCATGGTGATCCCGCAGGTGGAGCATGGGACTACAGGGGTCCCCCCTCTAATTTTAGAGTAAAACCCATGAAGGAAAAATCGAATGACCCATGGTTTGCCGCTTTGCTGTTCAGATTTTACCTTGAACACAACACATCCATTGAAAGTTGAAAGGTGCGGTGGAGCTGGAAAACTGGTCATGGTCCCCAGTGGGATCGCGAAGCCGGTATCAAAGTCGACCAAAATGCATGGGTTAATGGGTTTTTTTTGGCTCCAAAATGACCAATCTTGAGATTCTTGATTCGTTTGAATGATTGTTTACTAAAGACATGTCGAAGGATTACTATTTTAGTGACCAATCAAAAAGAAACGAAACGCATCAAATGAACTGGCACTCCGTTTTTGACCCATTCCCACTTGGCCCTCAGCGTGCAGCAAGGCTGGGACATTGATATATTCGCCGGACAGCTCTATGTGCCGAGTGCCCTAGTGACCCTAGTGCCACTCCTCTGGTTGGCTTTTCCCTTCGAGGCTTGAACTAAGATCTGGGTGAAAAGGGGATGTACTGGGCGGTAATTGTTGGGATACGAGTGTTTGAAACTGGTGGATGTACCCGACTCATCGCCATTCTAAGCGATGACCCAGATGATTTTTGGGGCTCCCTCAGCTGTCCCAGCTGACGAAAAAGACCCCTTGCTGTTGAGGTTGGGCAGCAGAGCATGCCAAAGTCATCGGCCCCCGTGGCGGCAGAGCTATGGTCACTCGAAGGTTGGGTGATCCACACTTGACTCATTTATAACTCATCTTGAAACAAAAACATCGTGCTCAACCAGCAAGTTAGAGACACTCCAAGGGAACATATGGGAAGAAATGGGTGTTTTTGTGATGGCGCCAGCCAGTTTTTTTCGCTAAAACCGCCTCTGCCTCAGACACGGACAAAACGAGTTCTTCGGTTCCACGGAGGGTTCTGAGCAGAGCCCGGAAGCCCTGGATGGGTCTGAGAATGGGGGATTGACCGCCAAAAAATTGCTATTTTGCAATTTTAGTGGTGAAAGGGAAAACTACAACAATCAAATAGCCATGAAACTGGTTGTCAAAACTTAGTGGTGTCAACTGACACACCCACTTTGCTCTTGAAATCTTGGAGATACACTTCATGTACAGGCCACACAGTCCAGTGGAGTCTTACAAAGCAATGTCAATTGTGTGTGTGGTTCTGCCATCAACGTTGGCATTGTCAGAAATTTCTCACAAGACCAATATTTTGATATGATCTATATCAAAGCACCTAATAAGTTGCAAGACAATGACTTTCCATCAATGGCCCTATTACCTGAAAGTACCGTAGAGAATTCAGGCACTTGAATCATCCAACTACCATAAATTACAATAGATCATCACAAATTACCTTAAGCTGCCATGATTTACTGCAATTAAATTAGCAAAAGTGACCATATATCACAATCAATTGCCTTGAACTGTCATAGATTGCCACGAACTAATCCCATTTCAATATGAAACACCACCCCTTTTTTTTGGTCCCAAAAGAGTGTAAATCCCCGAAAAAAAACATGGTTTCTGGGGTGCTGTTCAACTAATATGACCTCGAGGCCAAGATGCCCCCGGGGCGAACGCGAGCTACACGGTAGCACTCCCTACCTCTGATGCGCCTTGGAAGCAATGGCTATAACTGTAGATATAAATGGGGTTATATAGTATTACTATATTGTAATCATTTGTAATCATCAATCTGATTTGATCATATATACAATCAACCACGGTGGAATAATGATGTGTATATATATATATACATACGTACATATTAGTGTTGGATTTCAATGAACATAATTCCTAGTGTTGGTGATGATTTCATGTTGATTTATAGGGAATACACACATAATATAATATGATATGATATAATATAGTATAATAAAATATAGCACGATATAATATGGTATAATATAATATGATATCATGTAATGTAATGTAATGTAATGTAGTAATTATATATATAATGCTTAAGAATCAATATTTAATATACAATATTTAATATATAGTATTTTATAAATATTTTTTGATGTATGATATTTAATATATGTATATATATGATTATATGTATAGTAAAACTTATTTAATATAATATATATATATGTATATAATATAATATATTATATAAGATATATTATATAATATGAAATATAAGATAATATATATATATACATGATATATAGTATAAGAAAAATAAAATATAATATATAATATATAATCTAAAAAATAATATGTATGATATATAGTATAAAATAATTAATATATCATATATATATATATTAATTTATATAATATATAATATTAGATATAAAATATTTAAAATATAATATATATAATATATATATAATATATATAATATATATATAATATCTTATATATAATTTTAAATATGTAATATAATATATATAATATAATGTAATACAATATAATATAAAAAATATAATATAATACAATACAATATCAAACATAATATATTATATAATTTATAATATAGTATATAATATATATAATAAAACATATAATATAATATATGATATATGATATATAATATATAATATATAATATATAATATATAATATAATATATAATATAATATAATATATAATATATAATATATAATATGTATATACAATAATATATATATATATATAATATGATATATATAATATAATATATAATGTAATATATAATATAATATATAATGTAATATATAATATAATATATAATATAATATATAATATAATATATAATATAGTAATATATAGATATATATACATCAACAACCGGAAGAGAATCCCATACCCAGGTCATATTAAACACCGCCTCCTAAATGGTCCCACACATATATGAATCATAATAAATCCACTATGAAGCCATGGTTTCTCGGGGGTGTTTCATTATATATATACATAGGGGGAAGGGATAGTTGCCCTTTGAACATCAGGCACGGCTAGCTGGGAAATCCAAGAGCAACATTGGCATTTCAACGGGAAAACACATTGAAATAAACGGACAATTGTCCATTGCCATGTTTGATTACCAGAGCGTCTACATTGTCTACATGCCTTTATCCAGGAAAGTAACATATCATTTTTCTGGTGATTGAAGGTTCAGATTGTGATATGACTATAAATCATATCAAACATGAAATTTGGACCATCCATGATGGACATGTAATTTTTTCTCAAAAAATCAGTGAGTTTGAAATCGCTTTGAATCAGTGTGCCATCGTCAGGTGCTGGCCAGAATGGCGGCGCCAAAGAAAACCTTCTTGTAGGGCTTCGGCAGTGGGCTTAGTGGTTTTTGAATAGTTTTTACACGTGATATGATGGTTTCCCAATCATATACATACATATATATATATTATGTATATGTATATATCATATAAGTCTTGTATATAATTCCCTTCCATGAGAAAAGAACACAGTTATCCAAATTAATTAATTATATATATATGTGTATATATCACCATGTATATATCCCTCGACATTGAAAAACACTTTACTTTGAGTGATCCCCACCCTGACACATATTTTTTGTATTCTATCTGACATTCTTTTTGGCATTCCAGTTGACATCTATATTCTGTCATTCTTTCGGGCATTCTATCTGGCATATATTCTGACATTCTTTCTGGCATTGTGTCTGGCAAAATTTTTTGGCATGTGTTCGGGTCCAGGCGTGGCCCACAGCATCCGGAGCTAGCGGAAATCAAGATAACAAAGAGGCGCAGGAGGAAAAGGGGAAGGAAAAGTTTCAGAAGGAGGAGAAGCTGCACCTTTGTTAAAATCGAGCGACCCTCACCTGGGGGAAAAAGAAAAGGATGACGATCCCACCTGAGATTTTTCGAATCAGTGGGATTTTGTCACCAGGGCAGCTGCGCAAGTCCTCGACCTAGGTTGAGCTGCAGTCAACGAAGTATGGCAGGAAAAAGAAGACAACGCAGACAAATGGGTTTGTCTCAAAATTTGGAACCCCAAAATCCAGATTTTGCCCGTCAACATTGCCACAAATTGAACATCCTCCATTTTGAGACAGACCCAAAATTTGAAGCTGTCAAGTCGTTTGGTATTTGCCCTTGGTACGTAGCAAACAATTAAGTACTGTTTGGGTTTTCAGTCTTAGTCTTGTAATGCTGCAGACACATGGATTTGCTGGCAATCTTTCGAGAGCTTTGAAAGTCAGCAGGATCAATATGAAAGGCAACGTGTGAAAGAAAACATGAACACAAAAAAGAGCCGACATCTTCAGTCCGCTTGTAAACGTCTCAGGGTTGGAAATACTCTAATTCCAAACAGAATGGATCATGTTCACGCCCTACATGTTGCACAAGGATCTTACAGAAGACTCGTGTCAGTAAAAAAACTTTGAGCGCAGAGAGCATTAGAAACGCTGTTGAGGTGTCCTCTTAAGAGTGAATTCTTCGGCTGTCATGAAGACTTCACATTTCAGACAGAGGTTTCCTAAGTCATGGGGGTACCCCTAAATCATCCATGACATTTTCGGAGTTTCCATGAAATATACCCTCTAGCTATTGGGGATCCCCCATTTATGGTAACCCCCACATGGAACCTGTAAGAATCTGCGATGGTTTTGCCTGACGCTTGGGGGTCGGCAGAACTCAGACATGGTGCCCCCGGCGGCCATTTCTGCTGAAGCGTGAAATTCACCCAATGCCATCAACCTCCAATTTTGGAAGCTTTTGACCCCCAAGCATTTCTGGTGATGTCAGGGTAAATGATTATGGTGTTTACCGGGTTTACCGGTTTACCCCATGAATCCACATGTCTATCCACATAAAATGATGATTTTCCCCATCAATTTTGCTATAGAGGGTACCACCTTCTGTATGCCAGGTGATCTTTGGTCAATTTGTTCTCGGTCCTCCGGGAGCCGGGAAGTCTGGCTGGCTCGTTGGCATGTCGGATTTTCAAGGCAGGCGACCAGGTCGAAATTTTCACCAAAGTAGGTCAAATAGGGAAAAAACACAGAAAGATCCCACTGGAATTCGATTTTCAGATTGTTATTTATTTATTTATTTTTTATTTTTTGATTTTTGATGATTTTGGGGATTTTTTGTGGCTACCAGGGTTGACCCTACGGCCAGGACAACATACTGCACTGGAATGCAGCAGCTTCTAGGGGCGTGTCCTGGTGGCGGAGGGGTAAAGGTAGCACTATGGGCTATGGGTCAATTGGGTCAATTGGATGGTTAAACATTATTTTTATCTCATGTTTACTTATAAAAATGGTAAGATGATGCAAGATGACCGTATCACCCCGCAAAAAATCGTGGTTTGAGTGTTTTAGGGCCAAAAAATGATCAGCGATGTGTCCAGAATGGTGCCCCATGGTGCTCCAATGTCTTGACCAAACCGCTGGCGAATCATCCTTTTCCCTTGAAAAAAATAGTGATTTTGGGGGTAAAGCCGGTAGACCCCAGATGGTTTCCTGGCAGCAGTTCCCTAAGGCTGAAACGCCCGCGCACTCTGATCAACTTGGACCCGGCCAACGATGAGTTGCCGTAGCTTCGGCTTGGAAAGATCCTGATTAGCTGGAGGGTTCTCCAAAAAGCCTTAATCCTTTTTGCTACTCAAATCTCAAGTAGATAGCTAGAGGCTAGAGGTGAATACAAAACTGGGATTAGCACTCATGCCGCATTCAAATCTGAGGTGGGAGATGTTTTTTTGTTTGAGATGCTGCCCAGTTTACAGAAATCTTTGGAGAGGGTGCCGTGTGGCAGGTATGATTGCGACATCGATGTAAGAGAGCTCGTGAATGTTGAGGCGACGCGCTGGTATCAACCCTCTGGTAAACGTTTACATAACTATGGAAAATCACCATTTTTCATGGGAAAACTCACTATTTCTATGGCCATTTTCAATAGCTATGTTAGTTTACCAGAGGGAAAGTCCTGCAAGGGTGTCCCATGGGGTGAAAATGAGCGTCCCGGAGCTGAGGATGTCATGAATGAGTTGGAGCTGGGCCCGAACGGAGCGCTTCTCTATGCCATGGAGTATATTGAGGCGTGTTGACCATGAGCGATTCAATCACAGATATGAGATCATATTATAAGATAATATAATATATATATAAATATGATATATTAAAGCAAGATTCAGAAATTCAGAGATATGCAGTCCATCATATCCACCTTTTGCAGAGGAGCTTCAAGTCTCGGCAGAGTCAGGTCAATCTCGACTGGCTCATCACAAAGATTCGGTCGACTGGCCTCCGAATTTGGCTCCAAAGGGATCCAGATCATGACTACCTGTGGATGGTTGCGCAATCCTACCTTGGATGGCTAAACCATGCTAAACCCCTAGAAATCATGGGATGTTTAAACCACCGTTTTCAACTGGTGCAGGATTTCGCAACCATCCACCGTATGTTGTGATTGGAAGAACTATCTGGACTTGGCCGGGTTCTGAACAAACATTTGGACCACAGTTGTCTCGGGATGAGTTCCAGCCATGCAGCCAGGCAAGCAACTTCCGAGTTTGCTGTACCCTACTTGTTCATTGATTGCCCTGGCCAAGCAGCCTCCTCAGCGCAAGCTGAACATGCCAGAAGTGTCCTTGAATCTGCAGATTTCATGTGATTTTTCCAGGTTTTTTTCATCTTAGAGATCCAACTTCGCGAGTTTGCCGTGTAAAAAAAGACCTCTCAATCCGATACGTTGTGATGTGGCCTTCAAGAGGCATGGCTCGCTTTGCATGCCAAGCCCAACATATTCCGGCTCACAGCTCTAGCAAATTTGGATGCAGAGCAAGCGGTAACCACAGATCCACGATGTTCATCTTAATGATGCTCAGCATCAACGCATTCAGCATCAACGCATTCTAGATTTGATGCCAGAAATGGTTTTAGCAGTATGACATAGTATGACATAGTATGACATAGTATGACATAGTAAGACTCTATATTCAAAGGACTTGCCTGGAGGTTCCGATATTAATACAGACGACTTGCACAGCAGCATTCCACTGCTATGGTGCAGCTTCAGGCCGGGAATCACGGTGGATCAACGGTGGTATTTTCGGTTCAGAAGAAAACGGAAGTTGTTGGCATGTTGATGGATGTGGCACAAAAGTCTGGTAAAGGTCATGATTTTCCCATGATTTTCCCATGATTTTCCCGGAATTCCATCCCCCTGGGCCCCCGCCACGCAGCATGAGCCGCCGCTCCCCGCGAAGCTCCCGGTCGCGTTCGCGCTCGCTGCGGCGCTCGCGCAGCTGTTCCAGCAGCCGCTCCACAAGTCAAAGCTCGAGCAGCTGGAGACGTGAACGTGCCAGGCTGGAAGAGCTTGGGATTTTTCTGGATCACTCGGAAAGATGGGGATCTCGGTTATAAAATGTTATAAACATATAGTGATGCTGTTTTTCTTAGTGGCCATGTTTGAATATTAAGTCATGTCTTAACTGTTTTCTGAATTGATTGAATGTCATCCATGTGGGAACCAGTTCTTTGAATCCGGAAATCCGTGAACACGAAAGGAAGCTGCAAAGACGAAAGGAGGAGGAAGAGAGGCTGAAAAAGGAACGTGAAGAATACCGACACATGGTCAAAGCGTGGGTTCCATGAGTGACAAAATGTCATAAACTTGGGAAGTAAGCAAAGCCCACGGTTAAGAAACTCATTCCCCCATCACATGTGATGGTTTTTCACTATCCAAAAATAAACGCACATTGCAAATGGCTGAGTGAGAACATCATCATTTTGCCGTTCATGTTTTGAATGGATGCAGAGTGACATGACTCATTCGGACTCATAGACACGATGTATAGATCAATTTCACACCAGAATTCAGGACACACTGTTATCAAACCGAGAGTCCGAGGAAAGTTCATGCAAGAATTTGAAGCCTGGAGAGTGAAAGATCTGGAAAGTCGCAATAAAAGGGAGAAGGCGGGGCTGCAGACAGTACAACACGAAAAAAAACCCATTGCTCCGCACCGCTGCCCCCGCAGGAGTGGTACTCCATGCGAGAAGCTGCCAAGATTGAGGCGAAACAGAAAGCTCTTGAAACTCGGAATGAGCATCAGTCCCTGCAGTCCCAGCAGCTGCGTCCCTTGCCATTGATTGGTAGGTTGTCATGAAACATGGCAATTGCAAATCCCCGAAGTAAATGGAGATGTTATATGGAAAAATGATGGAATATGGGGATGTATGATCTATATACTAATATTCATATTCAGATACTATCTATATATAGATAGTGTATTAGTATAATATTGACTAAAACATGGGGATGTTCCAACTAGATCAACTAGCCATGTTTGACTACCAGGGTAGTTGCGTAGCTTGCATCAATCCTTCGCGAATGCTGAGTGATCACGGATCAAGCTGTGCCGCTGTGCCGCTGTGCCAAGGAGAGAGAGCAACAGCTGGAAAGAAGGACACATGGCATGGTCCATGATATATATATGAATATAGATATCAAGATGTGACACATAGACCATATATTATGGATTATTATATTGTATTGTATATACCGTGTTTCGCACTGTAGACACCACATTCAGAGCAAGCTTCCTCCCTCAGCACCATTAGATTTCTTGTGGTAGGAAAGCAAAGAAGAAGGCCAAAGAGAAAGAAGAAGCAAAGAAAAAGAAAGAAGAGAAGTGTTTTTCTTACACTTGAGTCGTGGACAGTTGATGTATGTCAGACTTTTCTGACCTTGCTACAACCAGAGTGATCTTTGAACACAAAAAGACCATCGAGGCAAGCCAAAAAGGAGAAGAAAGACCTAGAAGAGTTGGAGAGGTGGACAGCTGACAATGGATGCAGGATGAAACATTCTATGTTTCCTGACCCACGTAAGATGCGCTTTCCAAATGTAGTGCGTTTGGTTGGGCGTCCAAAATTGGGGGATGTCATGTTTTTTCGCCCAAATCTGCTGGTGAAGCATCATATCCCGAAAATATGTAGGGCCACTGGCCCGGTGCCACCGGCCCCACAAAAAAAGTATCTACTCCACATGTACCATTAAATCTTATGTGCATGATGCATGTTCTTATCGTATACTAACTCTTGGGGCTCTCCGATTGGTCTTCTCTTGACCTTCACGATATTCATACACCATGGTTTCAAATGCACTGACCCCACCACCAGAGTCCGGGGATGTGTCATTATGGACCTCTGAATTCATGCGAGAGTCGAGTCAAAAGTTGGATTATGTAATGATATTTGGATATATTTGGGGGATGGTCATACCACCATGAATAGGGAATTGTATTAGCCAACAGGTGGGAGATGGTGGGAGGACCATACCCCACATACATCCATATACCATCATATATTACTGGTATCTTTTGACCATGACACATCTTTAGTGGCCGGGAGATGTCATATGTTCATACCACATGCAAGTATCCGATTGCTGGTTGTATTGTGTCATATTCCACTCTATTCCCATTATATCTCCATTCTTGCTGGTCTATATCCCCATTACCCTCCCGTAATCAAACGGAAAATGCACGAAGTAAATGGAGATGTACAGTTCCCATAGGATCCATGGTGCTGGTATATATGCTAACATTGGGGGGTATATTGATGGGATCCATGTTACTCTATATAGCAGCACCATGGATCCGTCATGGGGTTGGGAAAATCATCCAACGAAATGGTCACATACTCCGACTGCAGGCGCGCAAAGATTGCAGAAGCTGCTGCCGCTCGAAGAGAGCGAGGCCGTTTCGAATGGCAGGATTTGAGCACTCGTACTGTGCGGATCTCGAAGTTTTAGGGCTAGTAGCATTTAACCACTAGGGACTAGGGATTATTCTCAGATTAACCAATAGTAGAATAATCCCAGAATAGTTTTTTTTGATTCTGGGATTATTCTGGGATTATTCCTATGCTGTTGATGGATTATATGAATACACGATTGGTCATTATGGGAGTAATGGTTACTGTAATATAATTTTCTCGATTCCAATCGAATTAGCCAACGGGATTTAACCGGAAATGTTCTAGCAGGGAAATTTGCAATGTTTTTTTTTGGTTAATGGATGTTAATGGAGACACTTAACTGCTGACTCCATTTTTAAGCATCGTTTCAAAAGGCCACCTCTCCCTGCAACGTGAAATTTGTGAAATGATGTGAACTGAAATTATGATGATATGTGAATAAGTATGAATGCGTGTATATATATATGATATATGTATGATATATGTATGACTGTATATACATGTATACTAAGTATATATATATTATATATATATATTAATTATATATTATATAATTACATATTATATGCAGTCATCTCAACATATATTTTTTCACCCAAAACCGAGCTCAAACTTTCCAGGTCTACCGCTTCAACATCGCCAGGTAAACCCAACGATGCTGAAGCCGAGTTGGCAAAGCTCATCAAGGAGGTCGTCACAGCTACGGGAAAATCCATCCTTCATGGGGGTCTAAAATTTGGGATTTGGTGGGTCCCAAGCTGCTAAGCTTTTGGGAAATGGATGGAAATGGGTGAGTTGAGTGGTGGTTTCTTCGGATGTTGGGAACTGAAAACCAGTGGCTTCCCTACCAATGATCAATTTTGGAGGGTTTGGGGGTACCCCAGTCTGAGAAGTCCCCAAATAGATTGTCCCCTAGGCGTTGACTTTCCATTTATGTATGGCAAGATGCTGTGAGATAGGTATGAATCCCTCTTGTCATAGACGATGCTGACCTGTTCCTGTCGTTGAGAATTTTTCGTCAGACGGGTCTTCAGCAAGTTTCGGGGACTCTAATCCTATCCCATACCCATAGGATCCATGTATGCTATATATGGTAACATTTACCATCAATATACCCCAAATGTTAGCATATATACCATACATGGATCCTATCCCATAGGGGCGTCAAACATATGAACGGGGGATGGGATGGGATGTGTCCACATTGACGTCTCCCACGCAAAGCGTTTCGTCTCAGGCAAAGCAGGGGTTGGAGAAGCCGGAGGCCATCGGCTGCAGATGCTGTAGCTATTGCTGTCCCCAAAATTGCAGCTATGTTTGATGTGAAGCTCATCCTTCACTTTTCAATCCATTCAAATTCAAATCTCCATTATAATCCACCATATCATATGATTTCTATACAGTTTGTCATCCCTGAAAAAATGACTCCTGGATTCCCCAGTGGTGAGTTATCCTGTCGCAGGAAGCTTCCACTGAAGCTGAGCCCAGTGGGGTCCCAGCGAAAGCGCCTGCGGAGTCAAAATCCTTGGAAAACGGCATCATCGTCTTAGACGACGAGTGATGCCGCATCGCCAAGCCATGGCTTCAACGGGTTGAGCGTTTCGCGTTTCGTGTCACGTGTCTTTAGAATGCGATAAGATGATGCAACAGTACTAAATCCATCTACAACACATGGTGTAGAACTTTTGTGAACTAGAATATGTTGCTATGCAACTTGAAAGAAAACAAATCTTGCAACCAGTAGCCGAATTGCGAGCGTTTTCGCAGCCTCGACTGTGGTGAAGTGGAAAACGGACAGATAGCGGATATCGGCTGCTGTGAACTGCGCGAAAGGATGTGATTGGCGCATTTTTTTCCACAAGCTCCGGCACATGCAAGCATGCAAGAAGTGATTGCCTTCCGCTACTCCGGCATGGCGCCGTAAGACAAAGTAACACCCATCTGGGTTTGTCTGAAAATAGGGTATATTCCCAATTATAGCCATTTAATAGGGATAATGATCATTAACCATTGGGTTTAGGGGTACACTATTTTCAGACACACCCATCTGTTTACAGATGATTCTTTTTGATGTTTGCCATACAACACTGGGGGCTTTCCAGTAGTTTCACACCATTTCATTATACATATTATACATACATACGTACCTACGTACGTACGTATTGAACGTACGTACATAGATAGATCGATAGATAGATAGTTTGATATAGATAGATAGGAGTTTTTTCCCAGAAAAAAAAACGCCGTGGTAATTCTCCAGTGGGGGCCAGAATTTTTCTCCCCCTAGGTGGAGCTCTACACTCACAATGACGTGATGACCAAGATCACGCAACAGTTGATCAAGGCAGTTTCGCAGGTTGTTTCATCATATTTCATCGTTTTTGTCCATGAAAAATGATGGATTTGATTTAACCAACAACACGTTTTTTTTAACCACTTTTTCTGGATATTGTATTATGGGTCTCAGAAGGGGTTGGGAAGATTGAATGGGGAACGCCAATTTTTGAAGTTGGGACGCCGCAGTGACGCCCATGGGTTTCTGGTTTCGACTGTAGAATTGTCTCTGCTTCTGTGGCTGAAAGAGGTTTAACACGTGCAACTTAAAACCCTTTAAAGGAGGCCGTTGGAAAGTATATTGCTTGGTCATCAGCATGAACTTGCAAGATTATGCCATAAACATCATCCCAATCTTACCATGGGTGGTAAAATGTGGGTTTCCATATATGGGGATACCTCAAAATAGATGGTTTATACATGTATATAATGGAAATCCCATTAAAATGGATGATGGTACCGGGTTACCCCCCATGACTTAGGAAATACTCAAAAACCGATTCACATCATCCCACACGGCTCCCTGGCGAGTGCTGGCCGCGCTTGGAGGCCTTAGATGTACGACTTGTCGCAGTTCATCTCATTGCAACTTGTCCCAGACCTTTTGGTGAATCTCCGGTGCCCAGCTGGGAAAGTCCACGAAGTAAATCACTAATGTTTCATATTTTTCAGAGGGGTAGGGCTCAACCACCAAGCAGTTCAACCAATGGGACAAATCCTCCGGAAATGTTTGCCGGGAGGCTACTGAAGTTTGATTCCCATGTGCCCTGTGCCGCTACCAGGATTCGACCTTGTGCGTCGATGCGTATCGATACCTCTCGGCCGTGTTTCTGTGGCTGTCTCAACGACGCGACGGCTGGGTTCCCCCAGTCGTCGTCAAACACGGTGCCCACAGCATAAGGTCACTGTCAGCCATGATGCAGCTGGAACTGCCCCACATCAATGTTCTCTCCAAGATCGACATGGTCATGGTTTAGAGCTTAGCCACCAGTGCGATGCTTTTATCAAGAGAGCTGCTTAAAAACTCTTAACTTGGATGAGTTGTTATTTTTCGGTCACAAAAGTCTGCATTGATCATCATTGCATTTTCATCTATTTTCATGATATGTTCATGATAGCTAATTACTAGATATTACGAATGTGTCGCTCAGCCAGATTTCCACATCTGGCCGGAGATGTTCACCCAGGATCACACCGATGACCTGAGCTTTGGCCTTGACTACTATGCAGGCCACTGAAATTTTGAGCCGATGCGGCGATGGAGCACAGAGATTTTTCCCGTTGACCCACGAAAAAAAGGGCTTGACACGACTTTTTTGACACAGAAAAAGATGAATTTTCCATTGCCAGGGATTCATCAGGATTCATCATTGCCCAAAAAGAAGCCCAACTGATGTGGCGATTTGATGCAGTACTGTATCAGTCTGCTGTCTGCATTGCTGCATTTAAAGAGTCATCATGACAGGTGTCTCGGATTTATCCCAGTTGCTATGGACACTTCAGACCACAAGGCTCCAATTGGGACATGTCACCGCTAGAGCTTGTATCAAGGTTCCTGACAAGATTTCCAAGCTCTTTGATATGTTTTTGTAGGTGTGTGATGGTAGGATCAATTTCTTTGCCAATTCACCACTTTGCAAAATGGGGTCAGTGGGAACCTTCGCCACCTTAGTGCTGTGTGGCAGGCATCCAATGAGTGTGAAGTTCAAGGAATTCAACAGGCGAGAGCTTTGAGAAGACATGGAGCGAGCTACAGTGACCGCTTGACCCACCATTAATCCACTGGAGCAGGCTCATAGCTGAGCTGATTGAGGACTATGGTGACTTGGAAGACGTGACGGCTCTAGGTTCAGCTAGGGCTTTTGGCTTGACATCTGAAGGAACTTTCAGAGGTAACCAGGTTGCAAACATCCAAATACCCTCTGGTAATTTAGCATAGCTATTGAAAATGGCCATTTATAGTGGATTTTCCCATTAAAAATGGTGATTTTCAATAGCTATGTTAAATTCCCAGAGGGTACAGGGGATGAAGGTTCTGTAATTTTTCCCCCAAAGTCGGAATTACTTGGATGGTTCAATCATCTTAACCCCCAAATTCTGACTGTATCTCAGCCACTGCGCCGAGGCCTAGTTAGCTTTGAGCCATTGGATATCCAGGACAAGGAATGCGCTTTGCGAGTGTAGGGAACTTGGGAACCTATGAAAACAGAGATGAAGCGGAGATTTAGGTTCAGAAACTCCAAACATCTTCAGAGATGCAGATGGTTTGATGACTCAGACACTTCTTCATTTTTTTAAAATATTTTTTTTGTTGATATATCCCGTGCATCATGAAACATATGAAACCTGGCAAGGGAACTTTATTGCCGAGTTTTGAGAATCAGCAAGGCTGGGCCGATGCGATACGGCCAACGGCCACATCATGAACTCTGAGAAGGTCGAGGCAGTGGAGAAATGGGATGTAGATGGATGTTTTTCACCATTTAATGAGACAAACCAAAAATTTTGGGATGCGCCTTCCAATTTTTTCAATCATTTCCATCATTTCCATGATTTTCATCTTCCAAAACTTCTGACTTCTTGGAGCAGGATCCCTCAGATCCTGTTGCAGGAGTTCGGCTATTCCAGGCTGGAGCTTCTAAGCCAAGAAAACCCTTGGCAAAAAAAAACAGTCAAAGAAACCTGTATGGCTTCTACGTGGCTCATATATGGTTTAAGTCTAAGTTTATACATGATTAATTATACTACATAGCTTGTACATGGGTTCATACATGGCTTATACATCGTTTATACATGGCTCATATATGGCTTATACATGGGATACACATGGGATCCGCCCCTGCAGGCTGGATTTTCAGACGCAGGGGAATTCCTGGATGAATATTTGGAACGTTATGAAGAACGATTCCAACAAAGATAAAAAACACATTACAATATATTGCATATGATTGTATAATATTGTATATATGCAAATATTACAACTAATCCAGCATATAACCCCAATAACAAAGTTTTGTGTTTTTTTACGCCAATTTGGTATTGATACCATTCCTTCAATACCACCAAGACACCACCGGAACACCGCCAAGACACCACAGAAACACCAAAATATGAGCAAGACACCCAAAACATCACCGAACCCCGTCAAGACATTACGGACGCACCACCAAAGTGCCACCAAGACACCAACGACCACCGAAGCACAACAACCACCGAAGCACAATTGACAGATCACCAAGACACCAGCAGGACAGACACCACGAATTTCCCCTGCAAAGGACGTTTCGCAAAAAATTATTGCCAATATACTTTGACATAATTATTTTTTTCCCATTATCGCTCCATTTTCAATATCATCATCATCATTATTATTATTATCATTATCATCATTATT